ACGTACGTCGCGAAAGAATTTCAACGCGCGCGCACACACTCATACTCTCGCAATATCTCCACTCATTCATTGATTCACTCGTTCTATAAACTAACCCGTTTTTTTAAATTTACCTGAAAAGGCCCATTGAACTGCTTTATTAGCTCTTTTTCAGAGGCAACCTGGCCACAAATGATAGCTTATCAGCAAGTGGAAATTTATAGCAGCCAAGTACTCTTAAACACGTGAATTTGATTCTAAATGCGGAGGGAAAATCCGCAGACACCCGGAGAAAAAAAATCCACGCGACCATAGAGAGAGGGACATTCAAAATCCAAATATACAGCAGCAGGCCTCAGGGTCGGGATTGAACCCACAACCTCCTGTGTACCGGGCGAGGTACTTCACATCTCGCTCGCCACCTTGGTAAATGGCTATTCATTAATTCGTGCCCGAGCTCGGACGTGGGGAGATAAGATCACTTTGGCTTAGCGTTCCGCCGGCGCTGCCAACGCCGCCACCGCCGGCTTGCGTTATGAATGTTAATGCGATTTGCGGATAGCGGAGGTCGCGCAACGGGCCCGGTCGTTGTCACCCGAGGAGATTACGCCGTTCCGTGGCGTCACGACCAGAATTCTAAGTTGGGTCTCGCCGTGACCACATCGCCCCGTCCAGGTCGCTCGGGCAAAAAGGACGGTGTGTGTGTGTATATTTATATCAGCCTAATCTCCTTGCGGCCTAATGCGGGAGCGGCGCAGCCTGTGTGTGCGCGCGGTGTATTTTTTGCACACTGTAAAGAGTTCACGCGGATCAATAAGATTGATGGTGACTAGTAAAAACAAGTCGTAGATTTCGGTTGGGTGATTACGTACTTTTTGGGTGGCTGTGAGAGCCAGTGACGCGATTTCCACCTTCCTGTGACGGGGGGAACAGTGCCTCGAGATAAAGGTCAAGGCAGTTCCCCCACTTTCGGTGGAACTCGTGCCCTGCTAACGGCTCTGAGCAGCCACTCGTGCAAATTCCACATTCCTATGATGAGGAGCGGTGGAAAGTTCATTCGGGGGACAACTGCTGCTGACTCGCCACAAAAGTGGTTGCTCATTTTCTCCGACCCTTGGAGGGGACCCCGAGCCGAGTCAACCCTTGGCCGGATTTCGGGAAAACTCGCAAACCTTTCCGATGTTGGGAGTGGCGCGACGTCGTAAAGGCGAGCGGGGAAAGAAAAGGAGCAAACTCAACGTTTCGCGTCAAAAAATATAACACACGAGGTGGCGGGGTTTATTAACGACGCATTTCCCTGAAACCCCCCGTTGCCTTTGCGTGCGCCCGCTCGCCCCTTGGTGGAACGTAATCGGCTGCATGGCGGTTTCGCTCGAGGCTTTCCCGCAGCGGGGAAAAACAAAAAAGAACGTCGTCGGCGGCGTCGTTTAGCGGCGAGTTACCGTGAAATAGCGAGAACACCGCCCGATCATTTTTATTTTAATCGCAAGCGAAGAGCCACAGACAGCAGCAGCAGCAGCAAACGGCACAATTAGAAATTAAATTTCTCACTTGAACTGTATCTGCTCCTTTCCAGTGTGTATGCCTACCAAAGTAATTAACTGTGTGCCACCCCCCCCCCCCCCAACGTCTCAGTAATGTGGAATTTCTACCGTTAGCTCGGAGTCACCGTTTTGAGCAGGGAGAGATGGTAGTAAGCCTGTCAAGGACCGGTCATCCTCGCAGCACAGGCGGCTTTTTGCTGGCCATCGAACAAACACGGTCGCCGCATCGCGCGACGCTGTCAGATGCGCTTCTGCGGCCGTCTGGAACGCTCTTCCTTCCGATATTAGGAAGCCATTGGAGTTATGCAAAAAAAATGTATTGTCTAGATTGAAAAGTAATTTCGTTGGAACTGCTTTTTGTGTTCAGTTTGTTGTCCTTCCCCCACACCTCTGGTTACCAACGGTTGGCTACGTACGGTGCAAAATAAGTTCAACATACATCCGTAATTATTTTTGGCTGTGCTTTCGCATCGATCGATGTGCCGTCGAGGTGAGAGGTAATTGCTGTTTTCATGGCAGTAAAAATCGGTACCCTGGGAGGTGGCCCCAGGGGATGGTTCAGCTGTCGGAGGGCTGAGGTTATGCCACTGACATCCTGGGTTTAAATCCAGGCTTCTGCCACCTATATATATTAAAAAAATAGAACAATGTTTTTGTTTTTACGAGGTAACATCACAGCCAGTGGTGTTCCATGCTAATCTCTCACAATGCAATGGCCACCCCCACAGCTTCGTTTGTCAAGATTTCTCCGATCTTACTTTTACATGCAAATTTCATCTCTAGCCCCGCCCACTGACCCTTGGGCTACACCCATCTCTAGCCCCGCCCACTGACCCTTGGGCTACACCCATCTCTAGCCCTGCCCACTGACCCTTGGGCTAGACGCATCTCTAGCCCCGCCTACTGACCCTTGGGCTACACCCATCTCCAGCCCTGCCCACTGACCCTTGGGCTACACCCATCTCTAGCCCTGCCCACTGACCCTTGGGCTACACCCATATCTAGCCCCGCCCACTGACCCTTGGGCTACACCCATCTCTAGCCCCGCCCACTGACCCTTGGGCTACACCCATCTCTAGCCCCGCCCACTGACCCTTGGGCTACACCCATCTCTAGCCCCGCCCACTGACCCTTGGGCTACACCCATCTCTAGCCCCGCCCACTGACCCTTGGGCTACACCCATCTCTAGCCCCGCCCACTGACCCTTGGGCTAAACCCATCTCTAGCCCTGCCCACTGACCCTTGGGCTAAACCCATCTCTAGCCCCGCCCACTGACCCTTGGGCTAAACCCATCTCTAGCCCCGCCCACTGACCCTTGGGCTACACCCATCTCTAGCCCCGCCCACTGACCCTTGGGCTACACCCATCTCTAGCCCCGCCCACTGACCCTTGGGCTACACCCATCTCTAGCCCCGCCCACTGACCCTTGGGCTACACCCATCTCTAGCCCCGCCCACTGACCCTTGGGCTACACCCATCTCTAGCCCCGCCCACTGACCCTTGGGCTAAACCCATCTCTAGCCCTGCCCACTGACCCTTGGGCTAAACCCATCTCTAGCCCCGCCCACTGACCCTTGGGCTAAACCCATCTCTAGCCCCGCCCACTGACCCTTGGGCTACACCCATCTCTAGCCCCGCCCACTGACCCTTGGGCTAAACCCATCTCTAGCCCCACCCACTGACCCTTGGGCTAAACCCATCTCTAGCCCCGCCCACTGACCCTTGGGCTAAACCCATCTGTAGCCCCGCCCACTGACCCTTGGGCTACACCCATCTCAAACCTTTATAACTCCCTGCCTTAGCAGCTCTCCCGCTATATTTTTCACCTGATGACGATTGCTTGTGTTGCGATCGAAACGTCGTGATATTGTTATTATATTTATTTTATTATTTTTCTATCTACGTGGCTTTACCGAAAGACCTAAAGAATACAAAGATACCCCCCCCCCCCCCCGTATAGCCTTAACAGACTGTTGGGGCAAGTGCTGCTCGCGTTCATCTATGAAGGCCGACACGGCACACGAGGGGGTGGGTGACCAGCGCAGCACCCGGCCGCCTTTGTCTCCCCAGTGGCGATGTTTGCACATCACGCCAGGCCCTCATTTGAGGCCGAGTCGACCTAGGGGAGGCCCAGGACCGGTTCAGATAATCGCCACTGGTGTTATTATTTCCCTTCGACGTGACTTTACCGAAAGAACCAAAGAAGATGAATCCTTGCAGTCACGAAAGCTTTAAATCGAAATGTTAAGGATATCGTTTTTTTGGTCGTGCCACAATCTCACAGTGGAGTGCATGGGCACGCAAAGACCCCCCCCCCCCCCCCCCGACTGGGCAATGGAAAGTAAGGGTCACTGAGTTTCCATTTTGTAAGAAGTCCTCTGAGCAGCGTCTCGTGCCGCTCTCTGCCATCGTAACGGGGGGGGGGGGGGGGGGGGGCACGCTGCTCCGTGAGATTCCCCAAGGGATTCGTCGTTGCCATTGTCCCGATGCCCGTGTCACGTCTTGGGATTAATTGGTAAAGGTGCCCAAAAAGGATAGGAAGATAAAGGTTCCCCGTTCAGCCTTCACAGACTGTTGGGGCAAGTGCTGTTAGCGAGCAACATCTGAAGGCCGGAACGGCACGTGAGGGTTGATTGGCCAAAACCACGCCCGGCCGCCTTTGTCTCCCTAGTGGCGATGTTTTTACACATCGCACCAGGTGCTCAATTGAGGCTGAGTCGACCGAGTGGAGGAGGCTCAGGACAGGTTCAGATAATCGTCACTGGTGTTGGCCGTGAGCAGGAATCGAACCCGGGTCGCCAGGTTCATAGCGCAGCGCGCTAACCGCTACACACACACTGACACACACACACTGACACACACACACACTGACACACACACACACTGACGCACACACTGACACACACGTGTGTCTCGTACACATTGATAATCCGGAGTAATGAATCGCAAACAATGTCAGCGGGCTGCGACACACGAGGCGGCAAATCTAAAGCGATCCGTGAGTTCCACCACGATCCCGAATCATGGATCTGCTCCGCGGTGTGCAGGAAGTCGCAGCTTCGATCCCGACCCTGACTCCTGCCGTCTATTTGGAGTGTGCGTGTCTCTCTCCCCCCCTCTCTCTCTCTCTCTCCCCGTGATCTCGTGGATTTTTCTCCGTGTCCTGCGGTTTTCCCCCCTTCCTTCCACGTTTAGAATCGACATCACGCGTTCAGAGTATTTGTCTGCCGCTAAAAATTCCCGCGCGACGGCAAGCCACTTCGTTGAGCTGTCGCTCGTGGCAGGCAGGTCGCTTCTGAAAAAAGTGCTGTACAGCTCGTTGGGGCCCTTGGCCGGTGAAAAATACCAAAAATAGTTTACGAGTTTTAAGTAGATTCACCGCTCACGGCGGCCGTGGCACCGCCGTTGCCGCGTGCCGGCCGTGCTCGGCGCTCGCTCACCGGGGCCGCGGGGGCGGTCGTTGTCCGGTGCGCAGGTGCCCCGGCACAGCGGCGTTCCGCGAGGCGGAGGAGAAGCGGCGCAAGGCGGCGGCGGCGGCGGCGGCCGGGGGGAGCGGCCACGGCGCGGACAGCTCGGCGCAGCACGCGTTTGCGTTGCTCAACGCCGGCGTGTGCTCTGTGGAGGCCATCGCGCTGCTCTCTGACGAGCCGGGCCTCGTCAACCCAGGATTCCAGCTCAGCTCCGAGGAGGAGCTCGACAGTCGGTTCCTACACTTGCTCGCGTGTTCACTCGCTCGCTCACTCGCTCGCTCACTTGCCCACTAGCTCACTGGCTTGCTCGCTCACTCGCTCGCTCGCTCGCTCACTTGCCCACTAGCTCACTGGCTTGTTCACTCACTCGCGTGTTCACTCGCTCGCTCACTTGCCCACTAGCTCACTGGCTTGTTCACCCACTCGCGTGTTCACTCACTCACTCGCGTGTTCACTCGCTCGCTCACTTGCCCACTAGCTCACTGTCTTGTTCACTCACTCGCGTGTTCACTCGCTCGCTCACTTGCCCACTAGCTCACTGTCTTGTTCACTCACTCGCGTGTTCACTCGCTCGCTCACTTGCCCACTAGCTCACTGTCTTGTTCACTCACTCGCGTGTTCACTCGCTCACTCACTTGCCCACTAGCTCACTGACTTGTTCACTCACTCGCGTGTTCACTCGCTCACTCACTTGCCCACTAGCTCACTGGCTTGTTCACTCACTCGCGTGTTCACTCGCTCGCTCACTTGCCCACTAGCTTACTGTCTTGTTCACTCACTCGCGTGTTCACTCGCTCGCTCACTTGCCCACTAGCTCACTGTCTTGTTCACTCACTCGCGTGTTCACTCGCTCGCTCACTTGCCCACTAGCTCACTGTCTTGTTCACTCACTCGCTCACTCACTTGCCCACTAGCTCACTGACTTGTTCACTCACTCGCGTGTTCACTTGCTCGCTCACTTGCCCACTAGCTCACTGGCTTGTTCACTCACTCGCGTGTTCACTCGCGTGTTCACTCGCTCACTCACTTGCTCACTAGCTCACTGGCTTATTCACTCACTCGCGTGTTCACTCACTCACTTGCCCACTAGCTCACTGGCTTGTTCACCCACTTGCGTGTTCACTTGCTCACTCACTTGCCCACTAGCTCACTCACTTGCCCACTAGCTCACTGACTTGTTCACTCACTCGCATGTTCACTTGCTCACTCACTTGCCCACTAGCTCACTCACTTGCCCACTAGCTCACTGACTTGTTCACTCACTCGTATGTTCACTTGCTCACTCACTTGCCCACTAGCTCACTCACTTGCCCACTAGCTCACTGGCTTGTTCACTCACTCGCGTGTTCACTCGCGTGTTCACTTGCTCACTCACTTGCCCACTAGCTCACTGGCTTATTCACTCACTCGCGTGTTCACTCACTCACTTGCCCACTAGCTCACTGGCTTGTTCACCCACTTGCGTGTTCACTTGCTCACTCACTTGCCCACTAGCTCACTGACTTGTTCACTCACTCGCGTGTTCACTTGCTCACTCACTTGCCCACTAGCTCACTGGCTTGTTCACTCACTCGCGTGTTCACTCGCTCGCTCACTTGCCCACTATCTCACTGAGTTGTTTACTCACTCGCGTGTTCACTTGCTCACTCACTTGCCCAATAGCTCACTGGCTTGTTTACCCACTCGTGTGTTCACTCGCTCACTCACTTGCCCACTAGCTCACTGGCTTGTTTACCCACTCGCGTGTTCACTCGCTCACTCACTTGCTCACTAGCTCACTGGCTTGTTCACCCACTCGCGTGTTCACTCACGTGTTCGCTCGCTCACTTGCTCACTAGCTCACTGGCTTATTCACTCACTCGTGTCTTAGCTCACTCGCTCGCTTGTGTGTTCACTCACTCGCGTGTTCACTCGCTCACTCACTAGCTCACTGGCTTGTTCACTCACTCGCTCACGCTGTTGGTGGGGTTGTAGTCACGCTCTTGATGGGGCTGTAGTCACACTGTTGGTGGGGCTGTAGTCACGCTGTTAGTGGGGCTGTAGTCACGCTGTTGGTGGGGCTGTAGTCACGCTGTTGGTGGGGCTGTAGTCACGCTGTTGGTGGGGCTGTAGTCACGCTGTTGGTGGGGCTGTAGTCACGCTGTTGGTGGGGCTGTAGTCACGCTGTTGATGGGGCTGTAGTCACGCTGTTGGTGGGGCTGTAGTCACGCTGTTGGTGGGGCTGTAGTCACGCTGTTGGTGGGGCTGTAGTCACGCTGTTGGTGGGGCTGTAGTCACGCTGTTGGTGGGGCTGTAGTCACGCTGTTGGTGGGGTTGTAGTCACGCTGTTGGTGGGGCTGTAGTCACGCTGTTGGTGGGGCTGTAGTCACGCTGTTGGTGGGGCTGTAGTCACGCTGTTGGTGGGGCTGTAGTCACGCTGTTGGTGGGGCTGTAGTCACGCTCTTGATGGGGCTGTAGTCACGCTGTTGGTGGGGCTGTAGTCACGCTGTTGGTGGGGCTGTAGTCACGCTGTTGGTGGGGCTGTAGTCACGCTGTTGGCGGGGCTGTAGTCACGCTGTTGGCGGGGCTGTAGTCACGCTGTTGGCGGGGCTGTAGTCACGCTGTTGGCGGGGCTGTAGTCACGCTGTTGGCGGGGCTGTAGTCACGCTGTTGGTGGGGCTGTAGTCACGCTGTTGGTGGGGCTGTAGTCACGCTGTTGGCGGGGCTGTAGTCACGCTGTTGGTGGGGCTGTAGTCACGCTGTTAGTGGGGCTGTAGTCACGCTGTTGGTGGGGCTGTAGTCACGCTGTAGGTGTTGCTAGGCGTAGTGCGGCTGGCTTGACTGTGCCGTGCTGGGCCGTGTCGCCCCTGTAGACGATGGAGACACGGGCCGGCGGACGAGAGGCTCCAGCAGAGACAGCGCCGCCCCCTCACGCAGCGACAGCTCCTCCGGCGGGGAATCGTCCGGCTCCGGTAACGCCCTCACCGCCACCGCCAATACCGCCATTACAGCCACTACCGCCACTACCGCCATTACCATCACAACCGCCATCAATTCCGCCACCAATACGCCATCGCCAATACCGCCACCTCCACCGCAATCACTACTGCTGCCACCAAATCCACCACTGCCATGAACTTCACCGCAACCACCACCAACTCCACCGCAACCACCACCAACTCCACCGCAACCACCACCAACTCCACTGCAACCACCACGAACGCCACCGCAACCCGCTACCGCAACCCACCACCCACCACCAACTCCACCAGCACCGCCACCAACTCCACCATCGTCACAACCGCTGCCATCACCGCCACCAACTCCACTGCCACCACCGGCACCACCAGGGCCGGATCAAGGCACGGGGCTTTAGGGGCCGCAGCCCAGGAGCCACCGCCAGCTGGAGGACCTCCAGAAATGCTGAACTCTACTTGTTGTTAGCCTTGCAAAAATATTCCTTTTTTTTCTTTAACTTTGTTTTCCTTTGGGAAAATATTACTGGGGGCCTCACAGCACCTGCACCCCAGGGGCATACACAATCTGAATCCGGCCCTGGCCACGACCGCCGCCAATTACTGCCGACGCCGTCGCCGCCCTCACCACAGCCACCACTGCAATCACCACCACTGTGACCGCTGCCGCCGCTACTTGGCCCGCCGCCACCCCGCGCCGTGTTGACGCGTTGCGTGCTCCCCGCCGGCCGCGGGGCAGAGCTGTCCCCGGGCTCGCCGGTGCGCGAGGGCGCCGTGTCGACCCTGGAGCTTCGGCGTGCCGACCCCTACGAGGAGCTGGGCGTGATGGTGGTGGGCGGCAGCGACACGCCGCTCGACAGCATCGTCATCCAGGAGGTGCTGAGGCCCGGCCTCGCGAGCCGCGACGCGCGCCTCCTGCCGGGGGACCGCATCCTCAAGGCACGCGCGCACCCCCAGAGACAAACTGTTTCATCATCATCATCATCGTCGTCGTCGTCGCGTGTGTGCGTACGTGCGCATGCGTGTTGCACGTACGTGCGCATGCGTGTACGTGCGCATGCGTGTGCGTGTACGTGTACATGCGTGTGCGCGTACGTGTGCATGCGTGGGTGCGCCCGCTCGTTGTCCTACCTGCACCTCCGGTGGCTAAGTTTGGTAACGTACATCACGATTCACGGGCACATGGTGTGTATAGTGTAGTGGATAGTGTAGTGTATAAGAGTGTAGTGTATAGTAGTGTAGCGTATAGTAGTGTATAGTGGTGTATAGTGTAGTGTATAGTGTAGTGTATAGTGTAGTATATAGTGTAGTATATAGTGTAGTATAGTGTAGTGTATAGTGTAGTATATGAGTGCAGTGTATAGTGTAGTGTATAATAGTATGGTGTATAGTGTAGTGTATAGTGTAGTATAGTATATAAGAGTGTAGTGTATAGTGTAGTATATAATAGTGTAGTGTATAGTGTAGTATATAAGAGTGTATATAATAGTGTAGTATATACTAGTGTAATGTATAGTGTAGTATATACTAGTGTAGTGTAGTATATACTAGTGTAGTGTATACAGTGAGGGAAAAAAGTATTTGATCCCCTGCTGATTTTGTACGTATGCCCACTGACAAAGCAATGATCAGTCAATAATTTTAATGGTAGGTTTATTTGAACAGTGAGAGACAGAATAACAACAACAAAATCCAGAAAACGCATGTCAAAAATGTTATAAATTTATTTGCATTTTGATGAGAGAAATAAGTATTTGACCCCCTCTCAATCAAAAAGATTTCTGGCTCCCAGGTGTCTTTTATACAGGTAACGAGCTGAGATTAGGAGCACTCTTAAAGGGGGTGCTCCTAATCTCAGCTTGTTACCTGTATAAAAGACACCTGTCCACAGAAGCAATCAATCAATCAGATTCCAAACTCTCCACCATGGCCAAGACCAAAGAGCTCTCCAAGGATGTCAGAGACAAGATTGTAGACCTACACAAGGCTGGAATGGGCTACAAGACCATTGCCAAGCAGCTTGGTGAGAAGGTGACAACAGTTGGTGCGATTATTCGCAAATGGAAGAAACACAAAAGAACTGTCAATCTCCCTCGGCCTGGGGCTCTATGCAAGATCTCACCTCGTGGAGTTGCAATGATCATGAGAACGGTGAGGAATCAGCCCAGAACTACATGGAAGGATCTTGTCAATGATCTCAAGGCAGCTGGGACCATAGTCACCAAGAAAACAATTGGTAACACTATACCGTGAAGGACTGAAATCCTGCAGCGCCCGCAAGGTCCCCCTGCTCAAGAAAGCACATATACATGCCCGTCTGAAGTTTGCCAATGAACATCTGAATGATTCAGAGGACAACTGGGTGAAAGTGTTGTGGTCATATGAGACCAAAATGGAGCTCTTTGGCATCAACTCAACTCGCCGTGTTTGGAGGAGGAATACTGCCTATGACCCCAAGAACACCATCCCCACTGTCAAACATGGAGGTGGAAACATTATGCTTTGGGGGTGTTTTTCTGCTAAGGGGACAGGACAACTTCACCGCATCAAAGGGACGATGGACGGGGCCATGTACCGTCAAATCTTGGGTGAGAACCTCCTTCCCTCAGCCAGGGCATTGAAAATGGGTTGTGGATGGGTATTCCAGCATGACAATGACCCAAAACACACGGCCAAGGCAACAAAGGAGTGGCTCAAGAAGAAGCACATTAAGGTCCTGGAGTGGCCTAGCCAGTCTCCAGACCTTAATCCCATAGAAAATCTGTGGAGGGAGCTTAAAGTTTGAGTTGCCAAACGTCAGCCTCGAAACCTTAATGACTTGGAGAAGATCTGCAAAGAGTGGGACAAAATCCCTCCTGAGATGTGTGCAAACCTGGTGGCCAACTACAAGAAACGTCTGACCTCTGTGATTGCCAACAAGGGTTTTGACACCAAGTACTAAGTCATGTTTTGCAGAGGGGTCAAATACTTATTTCCCTCATTAAAATGCAAATCAATTTATAACATTTTTGACATGCGTTTTTCTGGATTTTTTTGTTGTTATTCTGTCTCTCACTGTTCAAATAAACCTACCATTAAAATTATAGACTGATCATTTATTTGTCAGTGGGCAAACGTACAAAATCAGCAGGGGATCAAATACTTTTTTTCCCTCACTGTAGTAGTGTAGTGTATAGTAGTGTAGTGTATAGTGTAGTATATACTAGTGTAGTGTATATTGTAGTGTATAGTGTAGTATATAGTAGTGTATAGTGTAGTGTTTAGTAGTGTAGTGTATACTAGTGTAGTGTATAGTGTAGTGTATGGTAGTGTAGTGTAGTGTATACTAGTGTAGTGTGTAGTGTATAGTGTAGTGTAGAGGGTAGTGTATATGTAGTATATACTAGTGTGGTATATACTAGTGTTGCGTATAGTGTAGTATATAATAGTGTAGTGTATAGTGTAGTCTATAGTAGTGTAGTGTATGATAGTGTAGTGTATAGTGTAGTATTGTATAGTGTAGTATATACTAGTGTAGTGTATAGTGTAGTGTATAGTAGTGTAGTGTATAGTGTAGCATATAGTAGGGTAGTGTATAGTGTAGTATATAGTAGTGTAGTGTAAAGTGTAGTGTATAGTGTAGGGTATAGTGCAGTATATACTAGTGTAGTGTATAGTGTAATATATACTAGTGTAGTGTATAGTAGTGTAGTATAAGGTAGTGTAGTGTATAATAGTGTAGTGTATAGTGTAGTATATAAGAGTGTAGTGTATCGTAGTGTAGTGCATAGTGTAGTGTATAGTGTAGTGTAGTATATACTAGTGTAGTGTATAGTAGTGTATAGTGTAGTGTATAGTAGTGTATAGTGTAGTGTATACTGTAGTGTATAGTAGTGTATGGTAGTGTATAGTGTATGGTATTGTAGTGTATGGTAGTGTAGTGTATACTAGTGTAGTGTATAGTGTAGTATATACTAGTGTAGTGTATAGTGTAGTATATACTAGTGTAGTGTATGGTAGTGTATAGTGTAGTGTATAGTGTAGTGTATGGTAGTGTAGTGTATAGTGTAGTAGTGTATAGTGTAGTATATATTAGTGTAATGTTTAGTGTGGTATATACTAGTGTAGTGTATAGTGTAGTATATACTAGTGTAGTGTATAGTGTAGTGGAACCAATCTCTTCTGATGTCGTCATCAAGCCCATTCTCTGTGAGGTCTTCCTCTCTTTCCGGGTTCCTTACATTTTTCCGAGCAACACAATTTTTACCTAAAGAAAGCTAAACTAAGCTATTTGTATTTTACCAGGTAAGGCCCACTGAGCTATGCTGCTGTTTTTCATAAGCGACCTGGCCATCACAAATGATAGCCCAACGAAATGGCCTATCGCGTGGACATTCATAGCAGGAGCCAAACACGCTAAACGCACGTTCATTCTAAATAGCGGACGGAAAAACTGGAGGACCTGGAGATCAATCCACACGACCACGGCGGAGAGAGAGCCATGCAAACCCCAAATATACAGCAGCAACCGCCATTCGCCGCTAAGTGGCGGCGACGTCAGCACGGCGCTCCGCGCCAGGATAGGTGCACCTCGAAGGTCGCCGCCGGCAGGAGGAGGCCGCGGCAAAGACCCAGGTGCCCTTGGGTTGACTGCTGCGCCAGACTAGGTGCAGGAAGTCACGGGACAGAGCTACGGTAGGTCGCGCGGATGCACTGCCTCTGCTCCCTCCCTACCAATTTGCTGCGTTCTGGCCGACCGGCTTGCAACCACCACCACAACCCCCTCCCTGCCCGCCCATCATCACCTCGGGGAAGGAGGTCGATAACAAAAGTTGTCCTTCATCCTCCCCCCCACACCCTAATGCTCGCCCCCTCCCCCACCCCACGGCCCACCGCCCGTGCAGGTGAACGGCGTTGACATTGGCAGCGTGCCGCACGAGTTTGCGCGCGCCGCGCTCGCGGAGCCCTGCCGCAGCGTGCGTCTCCACGTGCTGCGCGACGCGCACCACGCCGCCTTCGACGCTCCCGGGGCCGCCCCCGCGGCCCCCGCGGCCTCCTCGCGCTCGCCCGCCCGCCGATCCTACCGCCGTTCGGCGTCCTCCGCGTCGGCGTTGGCCGCGTCGGGAGGGGCCGGCGCCGGCGCCGCCCGCCGGGAGTCGCACCGGCTGCCCCGCCGCCACACGTGCCGGGACTTCCGCGGCGGAGAGGCGCGCCGAGGGAACGGCCTCGCCGCGGCCGCCGGGCCTGGCAATGAAAGCCTCCAGGTGGCGATGACGACGACGATGACGACGAATATGATGATGATGATAACAATGATGATGATAACAATGATGATGTTGACGACGACAAAAATTATGTTACCGATGATGATGATCAGTTTAACACGTAGGCTTTATGGATGACGACGACGACGATAATTACGTTGACAATGATGTTGACGACGACGATGATGATGATGACGCTAACGTCGCCGCCGTCCCGTGACCGCGCTGTGCCCGCCCCAGGTGGTGTTGAGGAAGCGCTACGCGGGCGAGGCGCTGGGAATCCGATTGGCCGAGGCGGCGTGCGGCGGCGGAGCCGGGGCGCCCTCGGAGCTGCCGACGGGGGTCATGGTGCAGCGCGTGCTGCTGGGGGGGGTGGCGGCGAGGGAGGGCGCCCTCCGTGCCGGCGACCGAGTCATCGCCATCAACGGGCGCGACGTGCGCAGGGCCACCACGGAGCAGGCGGTCGCCATCATACAGGCAAGGGGGCGGTGGTGGTGGAGGTGGTGGTGGTGGGGGTGGCGGTGGAGGTGGTGGGGTGGTGGAGGTGGTGGAGGTGGTGGGGGTGGTGGTGGTGGCGGAGGTGGTGGAGGTGGTGGTGGAGGTGGTGGAGGTGGTGGAGGTGGTGGCGGAGGTGGTGGAGGTGGTGGTGGTGGAGGTGTAAACTGCACGCGCGAATCACGTTCGGAATGTTTGTTTGTCCCGGGGGAGGAATCTGATGAGATGTCCCGTAGGGCCACGGGGTCAGAAGGTGACAACAACAAGCAATACGAAAACACGGCGCGTGTACAGTACGTTGAACTTCTTTCGCACCGTACGTAGCCAACCGTGCTAATCGGAGTGCAAAGTATAGGAAAGGCAAGAAAATTTGCAAAAACAAAAGCGAAGCTATTTTACCAGGTAAGGCCCACTGAGCCATTCGCTTCTTTTTTGGAATCGACCTGGCCACAAAATAATAAATTAATAGCCCAACGCGCCAGTGGCTTATCACGTGAAGATGTACAGCAGCCAAATAATCGAAATACTTGAAAGTGATTAGTAAGTCGATGGTGCTGCAGCTGCTGCCGCTGCGTTTCACAGGCACGGTCTGCGGTAGTGCCGGAGTAGAGGGCGACATTGCTGAGTGTGTAACCCCAATCGGTTAAATTTGTGGGGTCATATTTCAAATTTGGAAAATTGAAAACCCACGACGCCGGCACACCAACGGGTGCCTTCCCTTTTTCGAATTCCGTCGCGGGATCTTTTAAACATCCGCTGGGGGGAAGCGGGATGGCACGTCGTGGCGTTTTAACGGTGAACACGGCCGCAGGAATAGTCAGGGTGACCTGCTGGATTGGAACCCCGTCGCCGCCCGTGACGTGCGAGTCGGGCGAACGGGCGAACGGGCGAACGTCGCGGGCGCTGACGAACACTGTCGTGCCCCTCTCCCTCCCTCCCTCTCTCCGTGTGTGTGCACGATCGCCCCGCTCGTCACGCCTGCAGTCGTGCCAGGACCGCGTGCACTTCGTGGTGTCGCGTCAGTGCCGGCCGCACGTTCCCGAAATCCTGCACGAGGTCGTCCCCAACAACAACGACGACGACAACAACAACGCTGGTGCTGCAGCGGCAGCGGCGCTGAGCACCGTGAGGGCCCCGCACCGCGAGCTTGACCCCTGACACTGAGCCTGACGCTGACCCTGACACTGACCCTCGCACTACCACTGACCCTCGCACTACCACTGACCCTGACCCTGACACTGACCCTGACACTGACCCTGACACTGACCCTGACACTGACCCTCGCGCTACCACTGACCCTCGCACTACCACTGACCCTGACACTGACCCTGACACTGACCCTGACACTACCACTGACCCTGACACTGACCCTGACACTGACCCTGACACTGACCCTGACACTACCACTGACCCTGACCCTGACACTGAGCCTGACACTCGCACTACCACTGACCCTGACCCTGACACTGACCCTGACACTGACCCTGACACTCGCACTACCACTGACCCTGACACTAACCCTGACACTCGTACTACCACTGACCCTGACACTGACCCTGACCCTTATACTGACACTGACCCTGACACTACCACTGACCCTGACACTGACCCTGATACCGATACTAAAACTAATACTAGCACGAGCCCTAACACTGACCCGAATCGTCACTAACCCCCAATCCTAACCCTCATCCTAGCCCTAACCCAGTGCACGCAGGTGCGCACATTGTGCGTGCGTGTTGCATGCATTCACCCCTGCGTGCGTGCGTGCGTGCCAACCCCCCCCCCCCCCCCCCCCCCCCCCCAGGGCTCGCCGTGGCAGGAGAAGACGGTGCGGGTCTCGAAGGCCCCCCACGAGTCTCTGGGGATGACGGTGGCGGGGGGGCTGGGCAGCCTTGGGGGGGACCTCCCGATCTACGTGACGAGCGTGGACCCACACGGCTCGCTGGGCCGCACGCGCAACGTCCGCACGGGTGAGGAGGTCGCGCTGTCGTCGCGCACCGCGGGGGCGCTTGCCGCCAACACCGTCGGCTTTATCGGCGAAACAAAGACGGTCGCCGCGTCGCGCGGCGCTTTCAGAAGCGCCTCTGCGGGCCGTCTGGAACGCTCTCCCTTCCGATATTAGGGAGCCCACCGGAGCGCTGCACTTTTAAATGATCATCTGGATTGAAAACTCACTTCTTCAGAACCGCTTTTTGTGTCCCTCCGCCACACCTCCGATATGAGGGCTGTTGGCTACGTACTGTGCGAAAGAAGTTCAACATCACACACGACTATACACGACACCAGTATGCAGTACACTACACGCGACTAAACACTCCACTGCTGAACACTACAGTCCTATACACTATAGACGCGACACTACTAATCACTAGGAAGCCACTGCAGCTGTCTTCAGCTTTACTCAATGGTTGAGAAGAGCTGCACTGGCTACGTGTGGCCTGGTCAGTACTGCCATCTAGTGGTCATCATGTAATTTTTTAAAAACTATTAAGCTAGAAACGATTTCCTTTATTTTACCAGGCAAGGCCCACTGAGCCATATATAGCTCTTTTTCAGAAATGGACCTGGCCACAATTGATAGCCCAACGAAGTGGCTTAGCATCGTCACGTAGACATTTACAGCAGCCAAACACTCTAAACGCGCGGCGATGTCGATTGCGAACGCGGGATGGGAAAAACCGGAGGGCCCGGAGAAAAATCCACGTGACCGCGGGGATAGAGAGACGCACGCAAACTCCAAATACGCAGCAGCAGCAATAGGCGTCAGGGTCGGCGTGGAACCCACGGACCTCCCGTCTCTGTCTGCGTGTCGTCCCACGCTCACCCCGCGTGTCCGTCCCCGTGTCTGTGCGTGCGCAGGCGACGTGCTGCTGAGCGTGAACGGCACCGACCTGACGCGCCTCGCGCACGCCGAAGCCGTGGCCGGGCTCAAGGCCGGCGCGGCGATGCCCACGGTGGAGCTGCACATGCTCTCCCACGTCTCCGCCACCGCAACGTCGCCCACCAACTCCTCGGCCACCTCGGCCGCCGCGTCGCCCACCAGCGTCGGCGAGGAGCGTGGGGCCGGCCGCAGGGATGGGCAGCGCAGAGACAGGTCGGCATGGAGACAGGCGGAGGGCACCGTGTGTGTGTGTACGTGTGTGTGGACGTGTATGTGTGGACGTGTGTGTGTGGACGTGTGTGTGTGGACGTGTGTGTGTGGACGTGTGTGTGTGGACGTGTGTGTATGTGTGTGTGGGTGTGTTTGTGTGGGGAGCGGTAGTGTCGCGGTTAGCACTACGCTGCGCTATGAACCCGGCAACCCCGGTTCAATTCCCGCTCACGGCCAACACCAGTGACGATTATTTGAACCGATCCTGGGCCTTGCGTTGGTCGACTCGGCCTCAAATGAGTACTTGGTGCGGTGTGTAGTAAACATCGCCACTAGGGAGACAAAGGCGGCCGGGCGTGGTGCTGGCCACCTACCCCCTCGTGTGCCGTGCCGGCCTTCATAGGTGCTACTCGCTAACAGCACTTGCCCCAACAGTCTGTTATTTATATTCTTAGTTTTTTCGGTAAAGTCACGTTGAAGAGAAACAACAAAATAACAAAATATATATAAAACATATACACCTGATGATGACCGTTTGAGTTATGGTCGAAACGTCGTGAGAATTTTTTATTGTTTTATATATATTTTGTTATTTTGTTGTTTCTCTTCAACGTGACTTTACCGAAAAAACTAAGAATATGAATTACTGCAGTCACGAAAGCTTTAAATCAAAATTTAGTCTGTTATTTGTGTGGACGTGTGTCAGTGAACCCATGACACCTGGGTCTATCCCGTGACCTCCTGTCAGTGGAGCCTTCGGCACTTCACGTGGTCTCGTAGTGCACCTAGCCTGGCACAAGCACCGTGGTGACGTCGACACCACTCATTGGTGAATAGCAGCCGCTGCTGCCGTTGTTGATGTTGACCCCGCAGGCCGCTGCTGTTGTTGTTGACCCCGCAGGCGACTGCTGTTGTTGTTGACCCTGCAAGCCGCTGCTGTTGTTGACCCCGCAGGCCGCTGTTGTTGTTGTTGATGTTGACCCCGCAGGCCGCTGCTGTTGTTGTTGTTGATGTTGACACTGCAGGCCGCTGTTGTTGTTGACCCCGCAGGCGACTGCTGTTGTTGTTGTTGACCCCGCAGGCAGCTGCTGTTGTTGTTAACCCCACAGGCGACTGCTGTTGTTGTTGTTGTTGACCCCGCAGGCGACTGCTGTTGTTGTTGTTGTTGACACCGCAGGCGACTGTTGTTGTTGTTGTTGACCCCACAGGCCGCTGTTGTTGTTGTTGTTGACCCCGCAGGCGACTGTTGTTGTTGTTGTTGACCCCGCAGGCCGCTGCTGTTGTTGTTGTTGTTGACACCGCAGGCCGCTGTTATTGTTGTTGTTGACACCGCAGGCCGCTGCTGTTGTTGTTGTTGTTGACACCGCAGGCCGCTGTTATTGTTGTTGTTGACACCGCAGGCCGCTGCTGTTGTTGTTGTTGACACCGCAGGCCACTGTTGTTGTTGACCCCGCAGGCCGCTGCTGTTGTTGTTGTTGTTGTTGACCCCGCAGGCCGCTGCTGTTGTTGTTGTTGACCCCGCAGGCCGCTGTTGTTGTTGTTGTTGACCCCGCAGGCCGCCGAGAGCGACGTCGACCGACGAGGAGGAGGCGGCCGCCCAGGCAGACAACGAGCGCAACGAGGAGGGGGGCGCCGCCACGGAGGAGCGCCTCACCTGGACGCCCTCCTGGGTCACGTGGCTCAGCCTGCCCAGGTGAGCACCGCTGGGCGGGCGGGCGGGGTGAGCGTGAGGGTGAGCGTGAGCGGGGACCGTGGGTGAGGGCGAGCGTGTAACAGAGTGCGCATTTGTACGTGGGGAGCGGTAGTGTAGTGCTTGGCGAACAGCACCCTGTGAAGGCCGGCACGGCACACTAGGCGGTGAGCGGCCAGCACCACGCCCGGCCGCCTTTGTCTCCCCGGTGGCGATGTTTACACGCAGCACCAGGTACTCATTTGAGGCTGAGTCGACGTAGGGGAGGCCCGGGACCGGTTCAGATAATCGTCACTGTGGTGTTGGCCGTGAGCGGGAATCGAACTCGGGTCGCCAGGTTCATTGCGCATCGCGCTAACCACTACGCTGACACACACTAACACACACTGACACACTGACACACGCTGACACACGCTGACACACACTGACACACACACGCTGACACACACTGACACACGCTGACACACTGACACACTGACACACGCTGACACACTGACACACGCTGACACACACTGACACACACTGACACACGCTGACACACACTAACACACTGACACACGCTGACACACACTGACACACGCTGACACACACTGACACACACTGACACACGCTGACACACACTGACACACACTGACACACGCTGACACACTGACACACGCTGACACACGCTGACACACGCTGACACACACTGACACACGCTGACACACGCTGACACACGCTGACACACACTGACACACGCTGACACACACTGACACACACTGACACACGCTGACACACACTGACACACACTGACACACGCTGACACACTGACACACGCTGACACACACTAACACACACTGACACACGCTGACACACGCTGACACACGCTGACACACACTGACACACGCTGACACACACTGACACACGCTGACACACACTGACACACGCTGACACACGCTGACACACACTGACACACACTGACACACGCTAACACACTGACACACACTGACACACACTGACACACGCTGACACACACTAACACACGCTGACACACACTGACACACACTGACACACACTGACACACGCTGACACACACTGACACACGCTAACACACACTGACACACACTGACATACACTGACACACACTAACACACACTGACAAACACTGACACACGCTGACACACGCTAACACACACTGACACATGCTAACACACACTGACACACACTGACACACACTAACACACACTGACACACGCTGACACACACTGACACACGCTGACACACACGGACACACACTGACCACTACGCTAACACACGCTGACACACACTGACACACGCTGACACACACTGACACACACTAACACACACTGACCACTACGCTAACACACGCTAACACACACTGACACACACTGACACACACTGACACATGCTGACACACACTGACACACGCTGACACACTGACACACGCTGACACACACTGACACACACTGACACACGCTGACACACGCTAACACACGCTGACACACGCTGACACACTGACACACTGACACACACTAACCACTACGCTGACACACACTAACCACTACGCTGACACACACTAACCACTACGCTGACCACTACGCTGACACACACTGACACACACTAACACACGCTGACACACACTAACACACGCGTATTTGCGGTACGCCCTCTCGCACGCACTGCCACCCTGCCACTGCGCAGCGTGCTGCAGAGGCAGAAGGAGATTGTGCTGGCGCGCGGCATGTCGGGCAGCCTGGGCTTCAGCATCGTGGGCGGCTTGGAGGAGAGCCGCCACGCACAGCCCTTCCTCGTCAAGCACATCGTGCCCGGCACGCCCGCCTTCAACGACGGGCGCCTCAGGTGCGGGCACCGTCTCTCTCTCTCTGTCCATGGTGTCACCCTGATCGTGTCTCACTGTGATCTCACTGTGATCTCACTCTGTGATCTCACTCTGATCGTCTCGCTCTGTGATCTCACTCTGATCGTCTCTCTCTCTGTGATCTCACTCTGATCGTCTCTCTCTGTGATCTCACTCTGATCGTCTCTCTCTGTGATCTCACTCTGATCGTCTCGCTCTGTGATCTCACTCTGATCGTCTCTCTCTGTAATCTCACTCTGATCGTCTCTCTCTCTCTGTGATCTCACTCTGATCGTGTCTCTGTGATCTCACTCTGATCGTCTTTCTCTGATCTCACTCTGATCGTCTCTCTCTGATCTCACTCTGATGGTCTCTCTGTGATCTCACTCTGATCGTGTCTCTGTGATCTCACTGATCGTCTCTCTCTGTGATCTCACTCTGATCGTCTCTCTGTGATCTCACTGATCGTCTCTCTCTGTGATCTCACTCTGATCGTCTCTCTCTGTGATCTCACTCTGATCGTCTCGCTCTGTGATCTCACTCTGATCGTTTCTCTCTGTGATCTCACTCTGATCGTCTCTCTCTCTCTGTGATCTCACTCTGATCGTGTCTCTGTGATCTCACTCTGATCGTCTCTCGCTCTGTGATCTCACTCTGATCGTCTCTCTCTGTAGATCTCACTCTGATCGTGTCGTTCTCTGTGATCTCACTCTGATCGTGTCTCTGTGATCTCACTCTGATCGTCTCTCTCTGTGATCTCACTCTGATGGTCTCTCTGTGATCTCACTCTGATCGTTTCTCTCTGTGATCTCACTCTGATCGTCTCTCTGTGTGATCTCACTCTGATCGTCTCTCTCTGTGATCTCACTCTGATCGTCTCTCTCTGTGATCTCACTCTGATCGTGTGTCTCTGTGATCTCACTCAGATCGTCTCTCTGTGATCTCACTCTGATCGTGTCTCTGTGATCTCACTCTGATCGTCTCTCTGTGATCTCACTCTGATCGTCTCTCGTTGTGATCTCACTCTGATCGTCTCTCTCTGTGATCTCACTCTGATCGTGTCTCTCTCTGTGATCTCACTCTGATCGTGTCTCTCTCTGTGATCTCACTCTGATCGTCTCTCTCTGATCGTCTCTCTCTGTGATCTCACTCTGATCGTCTCTCTCTGTGATGTCACTATGATCGTTTATCTCTGTGATGTCACTCTGATCGTCTCTCTCTGTGATCTCACTCTGATCGTCTCTCTCTGTGATCTCACTCTGATCGTCTCTCTCTGTGATGTCACTCTGATCATGTCTCTCTCTGTGATCTCACTCTGATCGTCTCTCTCTGTGATCTCACTCTGATCGTCTCTCTCTCTGTGATCTCACTCTGATCGTCTCTCTCTGTGATCTCACTCTGATCGTCTCTCTCTCTCTGTGATCTCTGTGATCTCACTCTGATCGTCTCTCTCTGTGATCTCACTCTGATCGTCTCTCTCTCTCTGTGATCTCACTCTGATCATGTCTCTCTGTGATCTCACTATGATCATGTCTCTCTGTGATCTCACTCTGATCGTATCTCTCTGTGATCTCACTCTGATCGTCTCTCTCTGATCGTCTCTCTCTGTGATCTCACTCTGATCGTCTCTCTCTGTGATGTCACTATGATCGTTTATCTCTGTGATGTCACTCTGATCGTCTCTCTCTGTGATCTCACTCTGATCGTCTCTCTCTGTGATCTCACTCTGATCGTCTCTCTCTGTGATGTCACTCTGATCATGTCTCTCTCTGTGATCTCACTCTGATCGTCTCTCTCTGTGATCTCACTCTGATCGTCTCTCTCTCTGTGATCTCACTCTGATCGTCTCTCTCTGTGATCTCACTCTGATCGTCTCTCTCTCTCTGTGATCTCTGTGATCTCACTCTGATCGTCTCTCTCTGTGATCTCACTCTGATCGTCTCTCTCTCTCTGTGATCTCACTCTGATCATGTCTCTCTGTGATCTCACTATGATCATGTCTCTCTGTGATCTCACTCTGATCGTGTCTCTCTGTGATCTCACTCTGATCGTCTCTCTCTCTGTGATCTCACTCTGATCGTCTCTCTCTCTGTGATCTCACTCTGATCGTCTCTCTCTGTGATCTCACTCTGATCGTCTCTCTCTCTCTCTGTGATCTCTGTGATCTCACTCTGATCGTCTCTCTCTGTGATCTCACTCTGATCGTCTCTCTCTCTTTGTGATCTCTGTGATCTCACTCTGATCGTCTCTCTCTCTCTGTGATCTCACTCTGATCGTCTCTCTCTGTGATCTCACTCTGATCGTCTCTCTCTCTGTGATCTCACTCTGATCGTCTCTCTCTCTGTGATCTCACTCTGATCGTCTCTCTCTCTCTCTCTGTGATCTCACTCTGATCGTGTCTGTCTGTGATCTCACTCTGATCGTCTCTGTGATCTCACTCTGATCGTGTCTCTGTCTGTGATCTCACTCTGATCGTCTCTCTGTGATCTCACTCTGATCGTCTCTCTCTCTATGATCTCACTCTGATCGTCTCTCCGCAGTCCCAGTCTGATTGTCTCTCCGTGGCGGTGTCACTCTCCCCCCGTACGCGTGCGGCAGGTGCGGCGATCGCATCGTGGCCGTGAACGGGAGGAACACGGCCGGCATGAACCACGCGGCGCTCGTGCGCACGCTCAAGGAGCTGCGGGGCAAGGTCTCGCTGACCGTCGTCTCCCTGCCCGGCTCCCACGTCTAGCGGGCGCCGACACCGCCGCCGGCGCCCGGCTGGGCCGAGCGTCCGTCGCTCGGGTCGGGACGGAGCCAACGACAAAAACAAAACGCTTCCCCCCGTTTTAGACGGCCCGCTCCACGAACCGCGGCCGACCTGCCGGCCCCCAGAACACGGCTGCATTGTCGTCTTCGGCGTTGTGTTGGAGGCAGTACAGAAAGTGGGATTTTTTTTTGCGTTTGTTTACTTTGCACGAAGCCCCTCTCCGGTTTAGCAGAGCTTTCCGCGTGTTCTCTTCGTACGTGTGGATTTCCCCCCGGGCACTCCTCGTTTGCTCGCACGTGCAAAAATACGCGCGAGCACGACGAGACTCAACGAGGCTGTCCCTCGTTGGAAGTTTATTGTCGAGTTAGACGGCGCTGTGCTTGAAGGGGTTTAACAAGGATCGGTACCAATTTCATGGGGAAGTTAAAAGGGGTTGTCCTATGGAACAACCACCCCCCCTCCCCTGCCACGGGAATGTGGAATTTCCACCACTAGCCGAAAGCCTCGGATGCAGGTGTGAATGTCGATCCCCATGCTCATCCGAGCAGAGACATTTTAAAGTCATCCTGGTTTTTTTTAATAATTATTATTTCGCATTTCCTTAAAACTCGCGCTTTGCAAAATGGTGAGAAGTAATTTTCAACCAAAGCTTGAAATTGTTTCATCGAGGGTCAAAAGTCTGAGCCATCTCTGCTGCGTTCGCGTTCTGGGACCGCCTGGTCGTTGCGGGAATGTGGCTGCCGCTGCTGCCGCTGCTGCTACTGCTGCTGCTTGTGTGATGATTGTGCGATGATTGGTGGCAGAACCTCTTTTAGGCCAACACCTCTCTTTTCGGCCTTCGTTTTTCCAAACGGGGCGCTCATTCTAGTTTTTTGGACAGACGCAAAACGACGGGCAGTTGAGTTGAGTCCGATTTGTAAATTTGTCCGAGCAATTAGTCCAGTGTAGGTGATGAAACGCAGCTTTTTCTCTCGCTCTGTCTCCCGCTCTCGATCCCAGGTCTCAGTTGCAAAAGAATTAACACCTGAGGCCTGATTTTGTGTTGGTGGAAATTAGTAAAAAAAAAATAATCTAGATGTTTGGTGGGAAACTAAACAAAATTGACATCACAAAAGGAAATAATTGATTAAATGTGTTTCGTATGGCCATATTGTCAGTCCACTGCTGGATGAAGGGCAACTCTCTGTTGGTCATGGGGGTTGTTTGGCCATACTTCACCATGCTGGTCAGTGCTTTTTGGTGAATGCGGATATGGGAGCAGTTGTGGTGGAGGGTGGTGCCCAGTACCGGTTCAGATATCACCGCTCGCCGCGCTGTGCCTGTTCAGCGCACGTGCGCGCGGCTACGTGGCCCGTGATCACCTTGAGACTGCGGGTTTCACACAGGCTTAAAAACGATCTCGGATTTCAAGCGAGTCGCGAACCAAATATCATAACCCCGATGGGTGAAGATACATCACATTATCAAGTGGATCATTGCAAGCTCACTTTTTTATTTTGAATGGCCAGAATTAAAAATAGTAATAAAAAAAAAGTCCGATCAGCTGCTGTTGTTGTTTTCCATTACCCTGCATCAACCCCCGATGTGAAACGGCGGGAGAGCATTCTGAATGTGAAACATGATTAATGAGCGTTAAAATATAACTTGCGCGGTAAATGTGTGGAATGAAAAAATAATAATTTAGCGTACAATACTGGACACGTATCCCTCGTGTACAGTGTTCTACACTCAAGGGAAGAAAAACTGCGCGCGGTTGAACCTCCTCGCTGGAGAGGCTGGGAGCGCCGCGTGGCCCGGGACCCGCGATGGGCCGCTGAGGAGACGAGTCGGAGGCACGGAGACTCCGCGTGTTCTTCTTCCGCGTGTTGTTCTTCCGCAGCAGTAGCCAGCGGCGTCCATCGCGTGCAGGAATCTCGCGGTCAGCCGCCGAGTGGTCGAGCGATCGGCGAACTGCCGGCTCAAGAAACTCGCCGCGAATGCACAAATCCGCGGTGGGTTTTGGTGCTCTCGTCGTTTTTCCCACCAAACGTCGCCAACGAAAGGTTTCTCCCGCCAGGGCGTGCCGTTATGCCTTTTTGCGAGCTTCGCTTTGGCCTCGCGATGTAAGGAAAACTAAAAAAAGAATAATTCGCGTCGTGTTTGCTGCTGTATAATTGTAAATTGTAATATTTATTGTGGCCGTTCGTGAACGAAACCCGGTAGTTCACGGAGAGTGCGTGTTCGAATTGTTCCGTGTACCCTCGGCGGTAACGTGGCTTCGATTAATCTGCGCAATAGTTGTGTTAACGTTTCGCAGTGTTGCCGGGGTGTGAATTAAGCCGCAGACGTTGTCGTGATTTTGGCGTTGACGATAGTCGGAGGCATTTACTCGCTCTCCAAATAAGCAAAACGCTTTGTGCCACGGTGGGGGAAGATGTTAAATACCTCGCCTGGTGTACAGGAGGTCGTGGGTTCGATCCTGACCCCTGCTGTATATTTGGGAGTTTGCGTGTTCTCCCCCGTGGTCGCGTGGATTTTTCTCCGGGTCCTCCGTTTTTTCCCCCCTCCGCATTTAGAATCAAATATGCATTTAGAGTATTTGGCTGCTGTAATGTCCACGTGATAAGCCGCTTCGTTGAGCTACCATTTGTGGCCAGCTCGCTTCTGGTGTAGAGCTATGTAGCTCAGTGGGCCTTACCTGGTAAAATACAAATGTTTTATAGCTTTCGTCGGTCGTTTCCTGCAGTGCCCGACATTCACGGATGCGCCGCGCGTCCGCTCACGCGAGGTCAAAAAGTTTCGAGAGCGACGAGTCCAAGAACAGCGATGGCGTTAAACCTCGACACAAAAGTGCGCGGTCTACGGTACGCAGTCTATGGTACGCCAAGTCTACGGTACGCCGTCTACGGTACGTCAAGTCTACGGTACGTCAAGTCTACGGTACGTGGTCTACGGTACGCCAAGTCTATGGTACACAGTCTACGGTACGCCCAGTCTACGGGACGCCCAGTCTACGGTACGCCCAGTCTACGGTACGCCCAGTCTACGGTACGCCAAGTCTACGGTACGCCCAGTCTACGGTACGCCCAGTCTACGGTACCCCGTCTACGGTACGCCCAGTCTACGGTACCCCGTCTACGGTACGCCCAGTCTACGGTACGTGGTCTACGGTACGCCAAGTCTATGGTACGCCCAGTCTACGGTACGTGGTCTACGGTACGCCAAGTCTACGGTACGCCAAGTCTACGGTACGCCAAGTCTACGGTACGCAGTCTACGGTACGCCCAGTCTACGGTACGCCCAGTCTACGGTACGCCAAGTCTACGGTATGCCGTCTACGGTACGCCCAGTCTACGGTACGCTGTCTACTGTACGCCAAGTCTACGGTACGCAAAGTCTACGGTACGGTCTACAGTACGCCAAGTCCAAACTGTTGGCGGTTGGTAGACTGGCCCAGTTGTGGGAATGTGGACTCTCCGTGACCGGCTCGCTTTTTTGCCAACAGAGTTAGAGATGTATAAACAAATCCTGAAATCATCTTCTTGGTTTTTTAGGTAAAGTCACGTAGAAGGGCAATAATAAAATTATAAAAATACATTTTTATTATTTTAAAATAAAACATTTTATTTGTTTAATTTTTATTATTTCCCTTCTACGTGACTTTACCGAAAGAACCAAGAAGATGAATCCCTGCAGTCACGAAAGCTTTAAATCGAAAGTCTGAAATACTCATTTATCCGATAATGGATAAGCTCATCGGTACATGTACACTTGATTTTACAATTGTTAACCTATTTTTGAATCTCAAAAGTCTTTGACACCTGCTGGTTCTCCTACTACCACGGTACTAATGTGATGCTCAGCCTCGACTTCAAATGCTCCTCTGTGGTTGTCGCCTCGTTCCAGCACACTGCGCGTCTGTGCGCGGTGCGCTGGAACGAACCCCTCGTTTTATATTCCCCCGCCGCTTGTAAATACAGACGATGCGTGCCTGCTTTACCGAACTGCATCGAACTCCACGTGCCGAACGACGGAATTTGACGACCCGCCCCGGACGCGCCGCTGCCTCGAAGTTCCCCCCCCCCCCCCCGGGTGTACAAAGCTTTGGTCGCGTTGGAATTCGTTCCACGCCTTTTTCTAGATATTCGCTTTGGGATTTTCTTAACAGACGCGAGCGCATCGGGGCGTCCGTCGTGGCGGGCTCGCCAGTCCCGGGTTTGGCTCGCGTGGCGGCGAACCTGCGCGTGCGGTTTGCACGCGCGGTTTGCACGCGGAGAGCTGGCCCGCGGAGAGCTGGCCCGCAGTTGAAACGGTCGACAAACGCAGAGGTGGAGCTCGGTTGGCGATGAAAGCAAACGCGAATCAAAATAACGAATGCATGCTCGCTCGTTTTTTTTTTTTGTGGCTGCCCACCACCGCCGCCGCCGCCACACGGGAATGATTTTCCGTGAATGTCCATGTAGGTTCGTGAAAAGTAATGCAATAAAAAACTGCCTCTTCAGCAACGCGTGTTCATGAATGTCACGTTGACTCGCCTTCGAATGAGTACCGCTGCCGCGTGTTAACATAGGAAGACAAAAAAAAAGGTGGCCCGGGGCATGGTGCTGGCCACCCAACCCCGCCGGCCTTCATGGGTGCTACTCGCTAACAGCACTTGCCCCATTGAGTCTCAAGGCTACACGGGGGATCTTTATCTTTGTTCAAAACGTGTCCATGAACCCTCATGAGTGACGGGTGAGGTGTCCGCGTGGCTCAGAGGTTAAACCGTTGAGCTGGCACCGCTGAAAGGCCTGGGCTCGAATCCAGGCAAGCCGCTTGTGGGTTGAGGGAAGGGTTGCTGGTCTCGGGGACCACTCACAAATAACCGAGACGTCAAATATCACGTGGCTTGACTGCCAGGTTGATGATCATTACTCTCCGCGGCATGGTCCACGGGCAAGTGCTGCCTCTCTGTGGTCCAAAGTCACTTGGCGGGATCTCGGGAGGGTAGCCCTTCGATACGTAAAGGTTTGTTTACCTTTCGTATACTTGTGCACAGCGTTCACTCGTTGTTTGCGAGGGGTATGTTCCCGAGATCCTCGTGAACATAACACTTTGCGGGTAATGATATTGGCCCATCGGTTACCTGAAATATTTAAATAAGTTATTAAATGCATTCAAATTATCATGCAAATTTGGCGACAATAAACAAAAGTAAATCAAAGTAAATATTAAAGTATTCATGGTTTCAAAATAAAAAAATAACCCTTATCTCATCATGTTCTTTTGATGCAGTCGTGTAGAGGTTCCAGATGGCGCTTCGCGGAAAGCCAAAATCGCGGATAGAAAGTTCGTGAATAACCAGGGAATGTATTTTTTCAATTTAAAGCTTTCGTGACTGCAGGGATTCATATTCTTGGTTCTTTCGGTAGAGTCATGTAGACGGGAAATAATAAAAATATAAAAAAATTCTCACGTTTCGATTGCAACACAAGAAATCATCATCAGGTGTGAAACCCACAGCAAGAAACATTTCTTCCAGGGATTGCTGTAATTAAAATGTCTGATGATCAAAGGCACTGGTGTTATGGATTGCCCGTGTTTGTTAGCGAGCACTTATTATGGTTGGCATGATGCGGGGTGAAGCCTCGACTATGTTTGACCACCTTTGTCTCCCCCGTGATGACATCAAATCCAGTTTTCAATTAAGGCCCAGTACACCTAGGAAAGTCCCAGAAGAAAATGAAATACGAAGCCTTCATCATGGAGCAACGACCGCCAGAAGCCATTACGGGTGTCACATCACCCCACGGCGCTTATACCAGGCTAGGTGCACTTTGAGGTTCAGGAAAGTGTTGACGTCTTGTTGGCAGGTCACTGCACAGGCCCAGGTGAAATGGATGGACTGGCACACACGACACACACGACACACACATCTCACCAAATATAATTTTAAACAAGATAACGCTGCGTACACGATCTAAGCAAATATCCAAGCAGACGTCTCTTTTTCTTTAAAAAAAAAGGTGTAATCTTTCTTTTTATTTCAACGCGTACAGCCGACAGAGCCACAGATCTCATGAATCTCATCGGTGGTACGTTTTGCCACGCGCGGAATCGATCGCTCGCACACGGAGAGCGGGAGGGGTGGGGAGTACAAGCGCTCGCTCGCTGTAAAAGCCGGAGGTACAAACGCCTTCGCGGCGGCGACGGCGGCGACGGCGACCCCACCGCTAAAAACGCAATCGCTCGCGCCGAGTAAAAGCACCTCGGGCGCCGGGACGGTTCCCCCCCGACACGGCCGGTCTGTCGGCTTGGTGGGGGGGGTGGGCTCA